GCCGCCACGCTCGCACGGCAGCAGCCGAGCGGCAGGAGCAGCGCGTCCCCGGCGGAGAAGGAGCGAGGCCGTTCCCTGGGCATCCTCGCAGCATCATGACTCTGCAGGTAGGCAGCTCTGCATCTGGTGAGGCAGGGACGCGGGAGGAGAGGGAGACATGCGCTGTCCACCTGGGCAATGCCGTGTCCGAGAGAGGGGTATTTCTTCAGCGTAAGGATTATTGCTGCAAAATCAAGGTTACCTTGCGGCACGGGAAATTTGCCTAAGCCTTTGGAGGTTAAACAATGCACTATGTTTCTCAAGTGGAGGGTGACAGTCATGCTGCTTATTTTAAACTACTCGTAGGTCATTTAATTTTTTTGAGCCTCACCTGTTCAGAGCATGCATGAATTTATGTGTGCAGCTGAGTCTGCTAGGACTGGATTATGCATTGAAAAATAGGAACGTACTTCATTTTTTAGGATCTAGCAGTTACTTGTATCTCTAAAAGGAGGAGGGGAGGGAAGCTTCTAACACTGAAGCAATGGTCTGTGGATTTGGGAAGCATGACTAATTTTTGAGGGAGTTGTGCGGTTTTTCTGTGGTGTGTGCGTCTTTGGAGTGGTACGTGTTTTGGTAGGAAAGCTGCTTTCTGCCTTCTGGATAGAGAGAGCTTCCTTCTACCTCTCTCTGACGATAGTTTTAAATCGTTTTTGAGGAAATTAGATCTTACTGGTGGCTTTTAGCCTTCTACCTTTGTAGCAAACGATGAATACTTCCCTTGTCTTGCCCATACCCTGATGGATTAGGCTGTTTTTCTTCATTAGGCTTTCTATTATCCCTTTCACTTCCAAGATTTGCAAGCCCTTTTATCCCAGTCTCATTATAATGTCTGTCTCAGCTCGGTTAGTGTGCGTGTTTTGCAAAGACCGAGCAACATAATGCTCTGACCTAGATGCAGGAAGTGTGTTGCCAGTAGCTCAGCAATTTTCTCCTGAGCTGCAATTATGTTGAATGACAGAGGTTTCATTGTGGTCTTTTACAGCTAAGAGGAAGAATCATATTTCTTCAGTGGGTCAGAATTTCCAAATTCCAAATATAACACCACCTTTGTTCAATTAGTGATCACTGCAATTATAGTTCATTTTATTCTGCCTTGAATTCACCGCTGAATATAAATTTATTAGCCAGGTGATTAAGCAATGAGCCATAAATCACTATTAGAAAGAGCTGAGTGCAGTATAATATGCCATTCCATTGCTGTATACAGTTACACGTTCACATAAAAATCAGTGCCTGAAATATTACGATATCCAACACATTCTGCATTTGGCATTAGAGAGGTTTTCACTGTCGCTTTGGGTAACAGCTACCATTTATATCCATAAAAATTCTTGAATCAAGCTGTATGGGAATGAGGATAAAATGAGCAAAATAATGTTTTCATCAGGGAGGCTGTAAAAGGTTTAGAAGTTTTGTAAACTGGTAAAATATTCTGCTGTAAATGAAGAATTCATTCAAGCTTTTTTCTTTGAAAAAAAGGGAGTATGTACTAATAGTCTGATTTGTGCATTTCTCTTTAATTCATGTTTGTATATTTATGTTTGTATATATGCTTTTAATTTGATAAGTTACAGGGAATTTTATTGGCACATGATTAAAAGGAAATTATATTTTATAGGCTGCTCCTAAGCATGTTGTGTAAGCAAGCAAATCCTAAGCAACAGTCTGTGCACAATGATTGGCTAGACGGAGATGAAGAAAGAAATGTTTAGTGTTTAAATGTCATTTCAGCATATTTCTTGCTGAGCAGGATACATATTTGTATATTTTAAAAACAGTATCAATGATACTTGTCTATAGATGCAAATAGCATAAACGTATATGAAGATAAGAAGCTTATTAACTTAATGGTTTCCTTTTTTTTTTTGAGGGTTGGGGGTTTTTTGTCTTGTACAGGTCTAACAACATTGCTTGTTCATTCTTACTGTGAAATTTAGATTAGAAAACTATTCAAGGCATGTGGAAGTTTCCTGCTGACTTGAATGGTCCTTGTTCATCAATGCTGGCAGAACCTCACATGCACTAGCGGCCACAGTATAAAGATGAAGATAAAATTTATTTAAGTTTTAATCGGTTTTGGCAACTCATTTATGTTTTATTATTGATACCACATCTTACTGTTAACAAAGCATGAATGCTGCTTTTGTTTATACATGTATGGATAATATTAAGAGGTATCTGTGATGCAGGAGTCAGTGATAGGTAAAGTTAAGAATGTCACATTGCTGGTGTTTGGATTAAGACTGAAATATTTATTTTAATAAAATTTTACCTGTAAAAGAGATTTTAAGAGTGATGGGCCATTACATATATTTTCATAATCAAACCTACATCCCTTTTATATATGTATATCAACAGTGTGTGTGTAAGGCTTGTAGGAGTGTTAGAGATGTACAGTTCCAGTTTCTTTTGGATGGTATTTTTAATTCAGTGATAAGTTAGTTGCATTGCTGATTTTGTTTCCCCTCATTGAGTTCTTCTCCATAATAAATGCTATACAACTATTAAAAATACTGTTGTTAGTGCTTATGTGGACATGTGGTTTTGCATAATTAGACTACAGTTTTGGTACCCGAGTACAGAACTCATTTGTATCCAAATGCTGCAGTGTCTGAAACACTGCACCACAGCATGGCATGTCTGGAGTGACTCTGGGGTAAGCCGGGATGTAAATTCAGAGCATTGAGTTCCCCTGCAGTAAGCACCCATGTCCTTGCTGCTGCCCTGAGGTAAGCGCAAAGTGGACCAGGCCTATTTTCGTGGAGGGTTAAGGTACCTATCTGTCAAGGAACACAGAGGTAACAAGTCGTGCAAACAGTCTCATAAGTACTGTGGGTTCAGACTCCTGTTTAGCTTATGGCGACATGTCTGTCCGCCCCCGTGGTCCCAGGCTGAAGGTGCCCGTCCTGTGCCTAAGGCACAGGGCAGTGCGCTTGTGAATTCCCTCCCAGCGCTCTTGCTGACTTGCTGGCCTCAAACATGTGTGTTCACCTTTCTGGTTTTGCTTCTGAAAGGAAGGGTAGTGAAATTTACTTACTTTCTATGGCTCTTGGCAACTTCTGGTGAAAAACTAAAAATGAGTTTAACATCTGACTTTGCTGAAGCATTGCAGGTGGTTGTAGAAAATTCAGGTACTTTTATCCTACAGAAGAAGAACAAGAGAAAATACCACTTAAAAAGAAAAATAAAGATTGCAAGGCTTTCATGAAAGCAAATACTAATATCACAAATATTAGGAATTCTTCACAGTGAGGATTTTGTTATATTGCTTAGAAGAAGCACAAACGAACTATGAACTGTGATTAATAAATAAACCACTGATTTTTTTTCTTTTATGGCCAAAGATACTTCTCTTTTGAACATCTAGGACAAGCCAAGGATTGAACAATGCATGATTCAGAATAGTTTTGTTTGCACCTAAGATAGAAGCTATCAAAACTATAATTTCTGGAGAAATAATCAATTTCTCTAATCAGATTTGAGATTAGGGTTTTCTCACTTGTACAGATTTTTCTTCTGTGGCATCAAGAACAAATAGATGTAGAGAATATACAGTTTTGACATGAGCCTAACAACTGATCCTGAGTCAGTTTGTGCTGTAAACTTCATACAGTGGAATTCTAATGGCAAAGCTTACAGAATAATCAGCAAGAGTTTCTTTGTATTCTTACTTACTTAACTTCTGTTCAGCAGATTCAGTATTTAAAGAAGAAATTAAATTATCTGAAATACCTGTCTAGCCACAGGTCTTGCAACCATGGCAGGGCAGCCATGGTTACAAAGATTTTGTAGCAGGAATTCCTTAAGGATCAGATCATACTACTGTGTGCATCATGAAAACTTGGCCAGCTGACAGAAGATTTCTAAAAATTTCTCATTTACTGATTTGACCTGAATTATAAAGATTTTCATTCTTGTACAATTACATTCATGAAGTGTTTCTATATTTAACTATTTCCTTTTAACGTATGCAATTTAAAGGGGTTTTAGAAGAACAAAAATTGACTTGCACTTTGTGGCATATACTAAAAATGTGTCTCCTGACCTATACATTGAAATACTTCACCACAAGCAAGACAGCAAAACGGTCCATTCACGAATATACATATCTGAAGTTCTTGTTTATAAGAATCTACATCAGTACTGATGTCACTATGGCTAATTTAAAACATTAAATAAAACTGAAATTATAAATTATTTTGTTTAGCTAAATTGCCAGAAATATTTGCTGTTCAGACCTGTCAGAAGATACAACTGCTGCTCCACAGAGCTTATTACTTTAAGGTAATTTCAACATATTTGTTTTATGGCAGTGAGGAGATACACCCTTGCTTTCACACTACAAAATGCCACCCTATACAGGTTAGAAAGGGCTCCTCAATACTAGCATAACTTTACAAAAAAGGTCACTACGTATTGTGAAGGTTGAAGACTCTGTGCATGCTATTGTATACCTCCTAACCCTCATACAGTCCTGAAAAGTGTTTGCCATTAAGTAGCGTGTTCTCTCCTTGAACTTCTTTCCTGTGGTAGGAGTCCCTCCCATTAATAAGCAAAAGATGATCAAAGGTAAGGTACAGTGATGGAAAGAACAGAGGAAATCCTTATGCTTAGTTGGTAACAACTAGATGCTTTAATGATGCTTGAAGTGGTTTGGGGGAAACATTTGCATTTATTATTATTTTATTTAAGTCATTATGGCTACTTTTTAAATCATTATGGCTACTTTTTAAATGGGACCTTCCATAGATTTTCCAAGGTTTATTTACTTATAACAGTGTGACTATTTGTAGGGTACCACCCCTGGAATTTGTACTTTGTCAGACCCAGGGGAACACTGGGCCACTATTACTGTCTGTATCATAAAGCCTACAGAGGATGGAAGCAAGGACAGGTGGCCTGAGAGGAATACAGAGAAATTGTCTGAGCAGGCAGGGATCAGGTTAGGAAGGCCAAAGCCTTGACAGAATTACATCTGGCCAGGGCCATCAAAGGTAAAAAGAAAAGCTTCTATAGGTATGTTGGTGACAAAAGGAACACTATGGGAAATGTGTGCCCTCTCCAGAAGGAAACAGGAGATTTAGTTACCTGGGCTATGGAGGAGGCTGAGGTACTTAACTACTTTTTGCTTCAGTCTTCACCAGCAAGTGCTCTAGCCACACCACCCAAATCACAGAAAGCAAAGGCAGGGACTGGGAGAAGGAAGAACTGCCCACTGTAAGAGAAGATCAGGTTCAAGACCATCTAAGGAAGCTGAAGGTGCACAAGTCCATGGGACCTGATGAGATGTGTCCATAGGTCCTGAGGGAACTGACAGATGAATTGGCTAAGCCACTGTCCATCATATTTGAGAAGTCGTGGCAGTCTGGGGAAGTTCCCACTGACTGGAAAAGGGGAAACATAACCTCAATTTTTGAAAAGGAAAAAAAAGGAAGATCCAGGGAACTATAGGCCAGTCAGTCTCACCCCTGTGCCTGGCAAAATCATGGAACAGATCCTCCTGGAAACTGCTGGGGCACATGGAAAATAAGGAGGTGACTGGTGACGAGCAGGTCAAGGGAGGTGATCCTCCCCCTCTACTCTGGTCTGGTGAGACCCCACCTGGAGTGCTGTGTCCAGCTCTGGGGCCCCCAACACAAGAAGGACATGGACCTGCTTGAGCAGGCCCAAGGAAGGGCCATGAAGATGATCAGGGGGCTGTAGCACCTCCCCTGTGAGGACAGGCTGAGACAGTTGGGGTTGTTCTGCCTGGAGAAGGCTCCAGGGAGACCTTATCGTGGTCTTCCAGTGCATAAAGGTGGCCTACAGTTTTCTAGCCTTTCAGGAAAATGAATAATCAGGTTTCATATTTCTGTTGTTAAGCTTTGAAGAAGAAAATATTTACATTTTCTTTATCCAGAACAAAGAAGCAAAGGAGCTTTTGTGGTTCATATAATCCATTTTTAATTCTGATCCAAACTGACTAAATCCAGCTACTTCAATTAAAATAGTCATCATGATCAATTTAATTTCTGATGATTTTGTTAAGTAAACAGTAGAGTAGAATGTAATTAAGTAAATGAATTAAGTAAAATATTAGAATGCTGATTTTTTAACTAAACAAGAGAGTACATAGAAGCAAAAAAATGTTGACAAGAGATGCTGTAAGGTCATTTCAACATTATTGATTCAGCTTTTATATGTAGTCTGGAGCATATGATTTTGGTTTATCTAAATTACATATAACATATTCTGGGTGTTTTGTGTTTTAATTCTAGCAAAATCCTGTATTTGTCTTGCAACACTCCCAAATATTTGGTTGGTTAAAAAAAAAATTTAAAATCCACAGTGTTTCGTTGTTCTTAAAAGAAATCAGACACAAAAAGTTGGACTTAAAGCTTTATGTTTGTCAATGATTCTATGGTATTACTGCATTTTATTGATATTGAGAATTATTTTTCTCAAAATCTGAACAAACTGCATAAGCACAGTTACATGTTTTCTGTCTGTAAAGTTTTAAGAATATCATTTGGAAGTAATTTGAGCTAGAATTTAATGCAGTAACTCTGCCAAATTGTATACTTTATCAAATGACCAAGTTTCAGAGCTTTAAGTGGACAAATGACACTTGGAATCTGGGTAATTCTCAGTATTGTACTGAGTAAAGAATGAAGGCTCATTATATTAAAAATATCTCCACTTAACAGCAGTGTTTCTCAGACTTAAAACTGATAGACCGTTTTAACACCCTAGCCATTTTCTGTACTCCTGCATCCAATACTGGGCATTTAGTTCTGGGATGCCTTAGTGGGAATCTCCTGGAAACTTCTGCTTGTCAGTTATTCAAACACTGCGGTTCTTGCTGAGTTAGAAGATTATTTGTCGATAAGAATCTGCGTAGCTGCAGGATTTTCGTCTAAAGAGCTTTCCTTTCATTGCATTTTTAAGGGTGCTATAAACACACAGAACTAGAGATGCTGATTATCGTCATGGAACCCTTCTCATCTAATGTTCTGAGAATTTGTAACTGCAGTCTAAAGAAGATTCAAGATTTATTTTTAATTGCTGTTTTGCAGAGAGCATTCCTTTGCTAGAACACCCTTTTAATCCTACATCATGATTTTTCTTAAAACATTGTTTCTAAATACACCCGTCTGCCTGCTGCTCCTTGTTTCGACTCTAGTGTTACAGATGTAAGTCCTCCTGTGATGAGGACTTTTGTTCTTAGACTTGTTATTTCTCTTTGTGGATTTCAAACAGCAATTATACAAAAAAATTAGAAATTCCTCAGAAGTTTATATCTGGGAACTTTACTTGCTAGCCAAACTAAATTTCCAGGCTAAAACAAAAAGTGAACTCCATCTCAGGAGGCAGATGTAACTCATCTGGTGGGAGAGTGGCCAGGTTTCTGTGCAGTGAATTCAGGTACCTGTCCTTACCCTCTACCGCTGCCTTTAATGCAGCCACCAGCTGATGTGTCCTTATATCAATGAATGTGTAGTTTTGTAATTCCAGGAAGGGGCCTTGCTTTGAAGAAAGATACTTAAGCATCGGTCTTAAAATTTTTCGGTTTTCCTTCTTGAATTTAAATACAGAAAGAGCCTTTCTCTTGTACTTTCTCTCTGTTTGAATACAGAATGTTATAGTGAGCCCAGCTCTCATGCATACTTGCTTATTTCTATCACCTGGTCCACCCAGCACAGTTGCTTGTCAAGGAGAAAGGTATCAACTAACGAGAGAAATGTGCATTAGGTTTTCTTATTAAAAAAATATATATATATATATATATATATTTCCTTTAACTAGAGAAAGGAAAAAGTGGTCTAAAGAAGCACAGTACAAACTGCTGCGGTAGTGTCAGGGTCTCAGTTATTTAAATAGAGCCACAGCATTCATGCTGAAACTGTTGGTGAATACATCGGTGATTTATCACAAAGTTGTAGACTGGTTTTGTACATATTAAATATATGTGTAATAGCACATCTTGTAGCATATATTGTGCTTCTGCAAACACAGATCCAACTCAAAAGCTAAAATAATTATTAAAATCAGCATATAGCGTATTAAAGTGCCTGAATCTTTTTTGTATTATAGTAGTGCAGTGGCAGGTCTGTTGTCACTGTATGAAATCTCTCTCTGAAATGTCCTGGGCATGAAACAGGACTCCCAACTCTGTGCTAAAGTCTTAGCCTGAGACCTCATAGATAGGAAGAATAATGGCTATATACTTGGGTTGGTGTGAATGTGAGATGCATGGTGATAAAAGGAGTAAAGTTATACTTCACTCTTGTGTTGGAGAGTGGAGAAGTGGCAGTGAAGGGGGAAGTGGGCAGTACCCCTCAGAGGGTATTCATGCTCTGCCACTCAAGTCAGCACTGTGCAGTCAGGGCCAAATTCAGAGATTACTGATGAGGCATAAAGTTCAATGAACACCTTCATACCCCCACTGTGACTGTGAAAGACATACATGCTACATTCACTCTATAATAGGCTTGCATAAATATATCTGTAGATCTCCTGACACTAGACAGTCTGTAATGGTTCTAAGTAAAACTGTTGGAAAAATTATTTTAGCAGTGCTGACCCTATTAGCTAAGCTGGCCTAGTTTCCCTTCTAATAATCTAGGGTTTTATTAAGCTGCTTTCATGGGAAAATGCCTAGACTTACCACTGAACCCGAATGAGTAATTGAGAGTATCTAATGATACTACTGCGCATGCTATACTTAATGTTTTAAGCACACTGCTTGAGAGGAGAACTAACATTTTGTTTTCTTTCATCAGGCTGACTTTGATCATGCTGCAGAAGATGTAAAAAAATTAAAAACAAGACCAACTGATGAAGAACTGAAGGAACTATATGGATTCTACAAACAGGCTACTGTTGGAGATATTAATATTGGTATTCCTATAAATACACTTCACATTTACTCCCGTATCTTAATGAAATCAAGCAAATGTTAGTAAATCTGCATGATAACCAAAGGTATGCATTTATTTTGGCAGAATGTCCAGGAATGCTAGATTTGAAAGGCAAAGCCAAATGGGAAGCATGGAACCTGAAAAAAGGTGTTACAACAAGTAGATTTACATCATGTAGTCATATCCACAGGATTACAAACGAGGAAAGATAATGACTCCTACTTTTCCTTTGCAGGTTTATCGAAGGAGGACGCCATGAATGCCTATATCTCTAAAGCAAAAGCAATGATAGAAAAATATGGGATCTAGAATCCTCAGAATAATTCCCACTAATAACTAACTCTTCAGTGGCTAATGAACTAACTCTGTTATGGAAAATGCAATACTAACTCCTTATTGTTTAGTCTGACAGTAAAATCTTTTAAGCATAAGATGTTTGACTGTAAAGGCTATTTACATACATGCTCTATTTTTAGATTGTATCTTATTCTAAATAAATTTGAATCTAATAAATTAAGCTTTCTATAAGAATTGTGGATTTTTGTGGGTATGGAATTATATTTAGCAGTTTTGCAGAAGCACACAAAGAGAAGCTCTGAAAGTAAAATAACATAGCTGTCATTTTTTGCAAATGAGGTTATAGAATGAAGGGTTTGTGCACATGCAAGATGAGAACAGGGAAAACATGAAAATTTTATTTTTAAGACCCAAAGCCAGTGTTTACTAAAAAAAAAAAAATCAGAAAAATTGCCCCCTTTTAAAAGGATTACGACAAAGATCTGGAGGAACAGTACAACTCTTAGGTATAACTGCATGCAATTGTCAGAAATGATGACTTATTATGAAGTGCTGTGGACTAATCTTACACCTTTGCCATTAAAATAGAGGGAAATACTCATAGACCAGCATTTTCTATACATCTTGTTATGTGTTTTGTCAAGAAAATTGCATTAGAGGGTTCCAGCAGATAAAAGTGACCTCCAGGAAGGTCATAAAAGGAAGTATCTCCACTTGTTAGATCGTGCCAGGCTGAAAAAGATAATTGAAGTGTCAGAGAAATGTCAATTATTGTGGTCATTTTACATAACTGTTTCAAAGTTATGTAATAATTATTTTAAATCCCGTATCAGCTGTTTTGGTTTATATGTTGAGACTGCTCTGTTGATTTGTCTCATTTAAGAAGGAGATGAAAGACTATAATCATTAGCTGATTCAATACAACGGGAATATTCATAAATATAAGAGGAAAGCCATTTAAGCAAAGTACCTTCTAAATCATGTGGTTTATCTTCGGACCCATTAAAGCAAGTAATATCACAAGAGAAGGGGATATTCCTTTCTGCCTTCTCAAAACTGTGAACATAAAAAGTAGTAATAAAATACTTATGTTTGGGGTTTGCTTCCATATACAAAATAGCTGTTTCCTTCTCTTCCAAAACATAACTTCAGGAATTAAACTGTGCACAGAAGGAATTACTGTAAGATTCTTAGCTCTTTACCCTACTGCAATTAGGTCTAAAAATTTTAAACAAAGTATGACCCAACAGTTAGGAAGACGAGAGCTTCAACCTGCAATAAAAATTCTTACCAATAAACAATTATGTTGTCTGCTTATATTCAAGTTCTAGCGTTTCAGGGCCTTATCAGCATCGGGTTCCTATGGCCAAAATGGGTCCCACATCCAAGAGTGTCCTTGTCTTTGCCCGGATAAGAAACCTTAACCACTCAGCTATGTGAGCTGCTGCATAACATCTAGTGGTGACAGCAGTTAGGACCAAAGAAGCTGGTTGCTCTCTAGATGCCCAGAGCACAGGGGTTCTTTGCTTCTGGTTAGGTTAGGGGGCCTTGGATCAGCAATCTGAATGCAGTGATCCTGGAGCATAATCAGTTGAGCTTATTAGCCTCAGAAAACAACAACAGATATGAGAATATTCCTTTTAGTGGCTACTAACTTTGGATCCAAAGTAGAATTATAATTCTACAATGACACATTTGCTACTGTAATAACAGTAGTGCTTGCTACAGTAGGCAATGTTTTCCTCTAGGGCTTAAATACTAGAATATAAATGGAAAAGCACACAAAGGAGAAAACTATGTTTACTTTTTCATACTCTTTATAACAAATGAGAACATATTACAGAGAAAAAACCTGAAATGATTAGACAGAAGTAAAAACTGTAAAAGGCAAATACAAATGTAATACAAAATTGTAAAACTTACGAAAATGTCTGAAGAACTCTAATATCTTCTCTGAAAGTATGTATCAGATGTTTCTTAACATCTTCATATTGGAGAAACTCAGAAGGAGTTCCTCCTAGGAGTTGTATATATGTAATAATGTCTTCATCTTGTGCATCACATAGGGGTATGCTTTTGATGGGAAGAAATGCTTCAGACTGTCAGCACCAGATAAAACAAATCAGGTATATGTTTTTTAAAGTATATAATCATATCTATATATATATCAGGTATATACTTTATAAAGTATAAAATAGACTTTTAAAACTCCTAAGTTCAACAAGGCCAAGTGCAAGGTCCTGCACATGGGTCAGGGCAATCTCAAGCACAAATATAGGCTGGGCAATGAGTGGATTGAGAGCAGCCCTGCGGAGAAGGACTTTGGGGTATTGGTCAATGGAAAACTGAATATGAGCCAGCAATGTGCCAACATATCCTGGGCTGCATCAAGAGAACTGTGGCCAGCAGGTTGAGAAGGGATTCTTCCCCTCTACTCTGCTCTGGTGAGACCCCACCTGGAGTGCTGCATCCAGCTCTGTGACCCCCAACATAAGAAGGACATGGACCTGCTTGAGTGGGCCCAGGGAAGGGCTATGAAGATGATCAGGGGGCTGTAGCACCTCCTCTGTGAGGACAGGCTGAGACAGTTGGGGTTGTTCAGCCTGGAGAAGGCTCCAGGGAGATCTTATAGTGGTCTTCCAGTACTTAAAGGGGGCTTAAGGAAAGATGGGGAGGGACTGTTTATCAGGGACTATAGGGATAGGATGAGGGGTAATGGTTTTAAACTGAAAGAAGGTTTAGATTAGACCTAAGGAAGAAATTCTTCCCTGTGAGGGTGGTGAGACACTGGCACAGGTTGCCCAGAGCAGCTGTGGCTGCCCCCTCCCTGGCAGTGTTCAAGACCAGGTTGGACGGGGCTTTGAGCAACCTGGGCTAGTGGGAGGTGTCCCTGACCATGGCAGGGGGGTGGAACAAGATGATCTTTGAGGTCCCTTCCAACCCAAACTGTTCTATGAGTCTGTGATTCTATTCAATATTTTCATTAAGAATTGTTTTAGTAAGAAAGTACAATGATTCTCTGTCTCCAGTATACAATGGCTGATTAGTTTAACATCCACAGGGAATACTTCTTGGAAAGGCTTTATGGAATGTTTGCTGAAAATACAGATTATGAGTGAGCCAAGTCCCCTCAAGGTCTGAAACTGCCACAGACAAATAACCATTAATTTAATTTTGTTCAATATTTGACTCTCACTATTGAAATACAACTAATAAAATAATCTGTTCAAGAGAAAGAAAAGCCTAGCAGTGGACACAAATCTGACTGATGTAGGACCGGAGAGACCAACCTCTTATGGAAATTTGTGGGAATAGTAATTGCTTCCATGAAGTACTAGCTCATGCTCAGGATTGCTAAGAAGCCCCGAAAACAGAAGAATGGAAATAGTAAACGCTGACTGAGGACAGGAGGAATGGGAAAAAGCCACTTCACTGTTGCTTTCCTTAAAAGACTAGCAGAACAACCAGAACCCCAGAAGAAACTGAGGACAGATTAAAAAGCCAAAAAAGAGTGAGGAGGGAAAGAAATAAATGGGCAAATGTACTGAGGGCTGGTGCAGGAGGTTTATGAATGACTAGGTTAAGACAGTTATTTCACATGTTACAGAGTAGGGAGTGGCACTTTATATTTTGATTACTTTTCAGTATTAAGCCAAAGGTCATAGTAAATAAAGTATTCACAGTATTCAAATGAGGTAGCATTATCTTAATAAGACTGTTCTCCCTAGGCTAAGGTTAGCAGCAGTGAATATTCCGTAACGTGAAATTCTCTGACTGCCTCAGACTTAATTTCCTCTAAGAAAACAGAACATTCAGAAGCAATGCTTGTTTTGTATTAAAGCCACTCTGCATACCATACTGTAAAATGTTGTTTTTACTCTTGGTAGCTAATATACTGTTTTGTTTCCTAGTATTAAAGATTCTGTAACTTACATTTGGGGCATGTGCCCCTGATACAAAAAGATGGATCGGCTCTAGTCCGTACTTTTCTTTCAAGTGTAGTGCAACTGCAAAACTAATATAAGATCCAAAACTGCAGCAAAAAGACAAATTAAAGAATGGTGAGCAAAAACATACATTAAAACTGGAAAATTTAAACATAATTTGAATTTCAGTGCTAATTTGCTATCTTGAACCATTACTGAAACCATATATGACGTAAATTACAGTGATATTAGCAAATTGTGTGTTACTATACAGTCTAGTTTTACAAATCAGACTTAAAAAAATCCCTCTTTCTTTTAGTAGTCTCCTTAATTTGAAGTAAGAACAGTTATTTTAAATACTGGGGACTAAGTGATCTTGAAAATCTATGTGTTTTAGGAATGGTTCACCCTGCATTCATATAGAACAAGCACTGACACAAATATTAACAATAAACAGAATTATAATTTATCAGTGAGAAAAAAAAAAAGAAACAAAACACAACACTGCCATTTTTAGAAGACAGTGTGCCTGAAGTAATAACAAAATAACCAGAGTCTTTGAGATCAACAACATGTTTTAGGATGACTTGACAAAAGACCTTTGCAGAAATGTCTTTCTAAAGCTTTTGCAAATAAAGGCAAGTAACTATCTACTCCTAGAGTTCAAAGATAAAGCTTCTTCATTACGGTATCTAAAAATGTATATATTTTTACCTGTGACCAAAAAATGCAAATGGTTTTTCTTGCAATTCTTTTAACAAAACACTTGTAATTTCATTAACTATGGTTGTCATGTCTTTCGCAAAAGGCTCCTTAAGACGAGATTCTCTTCCAGGAAGCCTTACAGAGGACACTGCAGAAAAGGTGGAGGAATAATAATTATAGTTATTTCAGATAGAAACAGGAAAATAGGTTTAACTGTTTTTTAATCTATTCTGCAGAATACATAGATTATTTAAAATAATCCTTTTTACAGTTGATATGGTATATTTGCTATTGCTACTACTGTCCTTTAATCCCATGAGAGATCCCATCCCTTCCTTTACTCAAAAACGTTGCCTCTCCAGTTGATCTGATTGATAAATAAATGACTTGGGTCAGAAATCCACAAGGTCCTGATCTCAGCTGAGGTTTCTAAGCAACTTTATTACTGTTAGCATTACTAAACAACCACAAATTCATTTTCAATAATAATAAGTTGGAGGCTTGTATAAAATACATCCTTTCAAGGGCAGCATTAGAAAGTTAAACTATAGTAGAATCATACAGTCCCTGTTCTTTCCAGGCTCTTCAGCACTGCACATAGAAAAATGTGGAATCATAGTATAAATTGGTGACAACTTATGTGGAAGGACATATTACATGCTTTTATTATATTCCTTGCAAAAATGGGGATTTTCTTCTCGCTGTTTAGAGAAAGTAAGGAATGAATAGATCAGGGAAAAAATGTTGATTTTCTAAAATCTCCTTGATGTTGCGCATACTGCCAAACTAATAGGGAAGCAATAGGTCAGACACAAAGTATTTTAGGAGACATAGAATAAACCACTACTTAATACCATAGATAGCAATGCAGAAAGGTTTGCATCTTCTATACTTCCTTCCTGCAAAAAAACCCATCTCTTAAAGAGTATGCTGCACCCTGATTTATGTGTCTGCAGTTGCTCATAGGCTATCTCCTTAGTAACTTCATTGGAAGTAGTTCCAGTGGACAAAAGCGCGCTTTTTTTCTTTAAAATTTCAAGAAAAAATTGATGTGACTTGTGCAACTGTTTACAGAAAGCATACAAGCATTTAGAGGACTAGTGCAATTACAGTGGAAATGCTCTCTATAAATGTTAATTTTTTTTTTCCTTCGTGGACGGGTCTGGAAAATGGCCTTCATTCCTCTTCAAATAGTTCAGCAATGGATCTTTTCATGCTGATACAGCCTAATAGCAGTGAGAATTACTTTGCACTGTAACGAAATGTTAAACTTCAGTTTTGACACAAGGAGCGCAAAACCATACAAACACTCTGGATAATGGAAATTCATTCTGTGCAGTCTCTCAACATTAAGTAGTTCTCACATCTTCACTACTAACCTTGTTGATGCCTTTTTAAACATATTAACAATATGCCAGTGTATTGCTGCTTCTGAGTCATACCAATGGTTTCTGAAGCAATCAAGCCTACTATATATAGTCTTGTGAAATCTAGCTCTGAGGATATAATTTTTTAACCTAGTCAAATATAACTTGATGAAGGTGGTATATAAACTTAGTAAACTCAGCATCCTAATAGAAATGCTAATTCTTAATGGAATTCCTTTCTGGATAAAACCCATTGGAAAAAGACTGCAGTGCTCTCAAGAACATTACATTCCATAGAAAAAATCTGGCTTCTGTTTATTTCAGACTTGCTTAACTTCTGCTTTAGCTACACAAATGACTAACCTTCAATTGAGCTGCTGAAGAGTTTGCCCCATGCAGCAAGTTGAGAAGTTCCACCACCAGCCCACGGAAAGCAAATCAGCCTACAAAGAGCATTTGGCCTCTTGTATGGACAAACAACCAGCTTTTCCATTCCTAAAAAACAAAAAAAAAACCCAAAAAAACAAAACCAGGAAAACAACACATCATTCTAGAACAAGACTCTTCAGGTATAAGAAAATTAGAATGACTTAAGTCTAATTTGAAACAATGGGCTGCAATATTTTCTGTCATCAGAACTGCCTGTGCTACAACAACAATCTGCTAGATATGAGATCATCTCCATGCAGCAGTGGAAACAAGTTCTGCTTTTATAAACGGTGGTGGAATATCATTGGACAGCACCTTTGGTTAATATTTTTTCCTATTTGAGTCACTGACCACAAAGAACCTAACAAGCAGCAAAACAAATTGATATGGGATTTCAGGATGACCATTTTAAAACACAGGCTTTTAGAACATAAAAAAATATAAGGTCCATCTAAAGACCTAGAAAACATAAGGATCACCTAGTTCAATATTCTCTCTACTACAGTAGAAAATAGATGTCTAGGGAACAGCTGGATGCAGTTTCTTTATACAGGAAATATATTTCATGTATTTATCCAGCCTTCCCTTAAATTCCTATGAACAGCTGGCATCTGTGACATCCTCTGGCAATAAGTTTCACAGCTCTACTATCTCTTGCATAAAGAATTATCTCCTTTTTTGTTTTTAATCCGACTCTTACAACTTCAGTTGATGGCCAGAGGTTAGTACAATAGAGAAAGTGAATGGTGCATCTCTCAAGATTTGCCACTGAGCATTTCTGAGATCTTCTGTCATATTGTCCCTGCCCTCAGTCAGCTCTTTTTCCTGAATGAAAAGGCCTGGCTTGCTTAGGTGTCCCTCATATGGCAGTACTTCTATACTCATGACTATCATTGCTGCCCATCTCTAGACTTTTTCTAATTACATTCTTTTTGAGATGGTGGAGTAACCAGAGCCACAGTCAGTTTTATCACAGCAGCTTTAGTATTTTTTTTTTACTGACTGACAGAAGTAATAGCTGAAGCAAGATTATAACTACTCCTTCCTTCTTACTGAGAAGAAAAAAATAGCATTGAACATGCTAACTGCATTGTCTCTAGCATCAGATACTGTCTTTACTATTCGAAGAAAAAAGTAATTCGCAACCATTTTTATTCTTTCCTGATTTTCTTGCCCTTTATTCTTGCTGATTAGATTTGTAGACTTAAGCACTGAGTTGACATCCTACTATTGGTAGCCCTTTCAGGCTGTGTTCTGTCAGAAGAACCTGAGATCACCATGTGCAACACATAAATTAATCAGAAGTAGTAGTGATGTAAAAAAACTGTTTTCTGCAACAATTAGCATAAACTCACATGTTCTTGTTAAAAAGACTGCAAAAATAGTAATTAGGGGTAACAAGCAGCAAAATTCCATTTCCAAAATGCTGCAAATTATGGTTAGTTCTTGCTTTGAATATAGCTCAGTATATGCAAGGTTCATCATAAAATACACCTATATACCTACATGCAGTCTTTTTTACCAGCACAGAAAGTTTAAGAAATGCAACCAGATCAAAAAAAAAGCTATGTAATGCAAGACATAAGAAAATCTACCCAAATGTTGCTATGCCGATTCCTTGATTTTCACATATGTTTAAACTGGAAAGTTTGTCAACATTAGTTAATAATCACTTTAAAGAAACTATAAGAAGAGCAAGACAAAAAAAGGTGTATCAAAAATCACTGGGCAGACAATGTGAGCTTAAAAATAGCTGAAGGATAGTGGAACTAGTGCTGCAGAAGACATAACTCCTCTGATAGATTAATTCATCTTCAATACCATTAGTCCCATTTACACAGTCACTTCCACAAAAACAGACAAACACTCAAACATTTCTGAAGCCAGTGCTCTAACTTGACAGTCAAATACAAAATAAATAAAAAAAAATCTCTTCTCAAATGGATTCCAAAGGTGATACAAAAATTTCAAGCATGATAAAGAAGCACATTTAGTTAAAGTCCTTAAACTGCTTAAAGATACATTTCCGGTCACTGAGAATCATTCACACTTTCTACTCATACAGGTTTATTCCTTCATCATTCAGCTTACTTTAGTTGCAAATACCTGAATAGTCAGGAAAACCACCAGTGACAGGAAACAACAGCCTGGAAGTGGGTCCGCTTCTCAACACTGCACAGCAAGAACCAGGAGTCAGAATCTGTACCTATCAGCAGATATGGAAGCAAAGCCAACCTTGCAGGAAAGGGGAAGATGTGCATCCAAGTGGCACAGCTGCCTGCTTTTAAGTCTTTTCTAGGCTTAAGGGAGGAGCCCACATCTCAAAAAAAGGCAGGGACTGAGGCACACAGAATCCCAAAAGGTAGACAGAAGCATCATGTGTTAGGCATGACACACAGCATTTGGCAGCAATATAAGGAAGGTGCACCACATCAATAGCAGTGATTTACAAAGCACAGGTTAACATGCACATGACAGTACAGAAGTTGTAGCAGTTTTAATACATAGAAGCCCACAACGTCACTGAAGAAAAAGCCTGCATAAAGTAACCAAGAAAAGCCAGCCTTTTGTAAGAGCTATATTCACCAGTACAGCACTCACACCTCTGCTGGACAGTTTTGCAGGGGTCTGAAAATGTTGATGTAGGAGACTATCACCTGATTTGAATAAAACACTGCATTTGGTTAGTAGGCCAGTTGTAGTTTGTACAAGGTGAAGACATAGCGGTGCACGAACAACACACTGTGGTTACATATGATGATTTTATATTAGCTAACATGTTATGCTCTTGGTGATCAGATGCTCTCAGCAACCTAAAAACACCAGAGTATTTTGTAACTGGATCTGTAGTACTAGGAAGATTGGCTTTTTTCTTTTTCTTTTTTTTCCTGCTACTCTACCAGAAATATCGGTAACAATAATAATAAAGTAAAAATATTCAAAAGCAGTGACTGAAACTAAAGAACCTGAGTGCCCAAATAGGTTATGATGCTTAACTTGAGACTCATAAGCTGAACTACTTTGTGGATTTCACATTATTCTTCATTCTTTCACATTTCTCTTCATCATGTCTAAGAAACTGAAAAATCTGTGGTGTTAAGAGAAAAGCCTGCCTGTTGACCTAGACAGTAAGCACTGCTCCTTTCCCCAGTGAGATCTGCAGTCTTCTACTCACTTCTGATTTCTGCTTTCCTGGGGAACCCTAAAGCAACCCTTCTGACTGCAGCAGATTCTGTGGGAAGGCACAGGCTCTGCAGTGAGGGGCTGGTGCCAGGCCCTGCAGCTGCCTCTTCCAAATGGCAAAAGTGGAAACTGTTGCTGAGGCGTCTTTCACGCTACTTTTATGTTGTAATTAGGGTGAAGTAAGATGAGGCACACCTATGTTTGGAAGGTGCACAATTTAAAGCAGCTTATATTGGCTAGTCCCGACCTGTGCTGTTATGCCCAATACTGCTTCTCCAAATAATGTATCAGCTATCAGAGGTATTTGATTATAAGGTACAATTTATAATAAAGTACCTAATATGCTTTATTTATTGCCACCTTAAATTGTGCCAACTGTAAAATCTGGTACACAATGTTGATGTTATGAAAGCCAGCTGTTCTAAACATTGAGCCCACTAATGTTGCTAATATGCCTAGAAACAATTATTTCCTAAATAAGACTGAAAAGAAAATAGGTTAAGAATAAGATTTTTAAAGTATAGCATTAATCAAATAGCGTGACATTTCCTTAAAATTATTTCCTTAAAAATAATGAAATTATAAATTGTATGTGTTGGTTGGTTTAGTTTCCTTCTAAATTTTTTCTTGGTATCAGACTAGAAATGTATTGGCTTTCATATGAAAAATTAGTATTTTCACAAATGAAGTCGTTCCAGGAGATGCCATTCTCAACCAAAATTATGTTTACCATTTCCAGGGCTGAAGGTAGAAGAGGGCTTTACAGAACCAACTTTTCCAACCCAGTACTAGTACAGAATAGACTAGACTAGACTATTTCAGTTGGAAGGGCGCTACAATGATCATCTAGTCCAACTGCCTGATCAATTCAGGGCTGACCAAGTTAAAGCATGTTGTTAAAGGTCATTGTCCAAATGCCCCTTCAACACTGGCAGGCTTGGGGCATCGACCACTTCTATAGGAAGCCTGTTCCAGTGTTTGACCACCCTCTCAGTAAAGAAATGCTTCCTAATGTCCAGTCTAAACCTCACCTGGTGCAGCTTTGAACCATTCCCACGTGTCCTGTCACAGGATACCAGGGAGAAGTGATCAGCACCTCCCTCTCCACTTCCCCTCCTCAGGGAGCTGTAGAGAGTGATGAGGTCACCCCTCAGCCTTTTTTCTCCAGACTAGTCAAGCCCAAAGTCCCTAGCCGCTCCTCACAGGACGTTCCTTCCAGCCCTTTCACCAGCTTTGTTGCTGTCCTCTGGACGCATTCAAGGACCTTCACATCCTTCTTAAACTGTGGGGCCCAGAACTGCACACAGTACCCCAGGTGAGGCTGCACCATTACTGAATACAGCAGGATAATCACGTCTTTTGACTAGCTGGTTATATGTGTTTGATGCACCCCAGGATGCAGTTTGCCCTCCTGGCTGCCAGGACACACTGCTCACTCCTATTGTGTCTGCTGTCAACCAGTACCTCCAGATTCCTTTCTGCAGGGCTGATCTCCAGCTAATCCTGTCCCAATTTATATTTGTGCTCAGTGTTACTCCATCCTAGGTGCAGAATCCAGCATTTCAACGTGTTAAATTTCATCCCAGTAATCACAGCCCAATGCTCCAATCTACCTAGATCCCTCTGCAAGGCCTTTTGTCCCTCAGGAGAGTCAACAGCACCTCCCAGCTTGGTATCATCAGAAAACTCACTAATGGTGCATTCAACTCCTGCATCCAGATTGTTGATAAATATACTGAACAGAACTGGCCCTAGAATTGACCCCTGAGGAATACTGCTGGTGACCAGTCACCAGCCAAATGTCCCATTCACTATAACCCTTTGAGCTCTGCCCTTCAGCCAGTTCTTCACCCAGTGCACTGTGAACCTGCTCACCCCACAGACAACTCGTTCAGAGGATGCTGTGAGGGACAGTATCAAAAGCCTTACTAAAATCCAGAAAAACTACATCTATTGCTGTATTGGGTTTGTGTGGTGGGGTTTTGGTAACAGGGGAGGAGCTACAGAGGTGGGTCCTGTGAGAAGCCACTAGAAGCTTCCCTAGCTCCAAGTTGGACCTGCCTCTGGCCAAAGCCAAGCCAATCAGCAATGGTGGCTGAACCCCTGTGGTAATATATTTAAGAAAGGGAAAACCTGCAGTGGAGTGAGATGTGAGAGAACCAACCCTGCAGACACCAAGGTCAATGAAGGGAGGAGGAGGAGGTGCTGCAGGTGCCAGAGCAGAGATTCCCCTGCAGCCCATGGTGCAGCCCATGGTGAGGCAGGCTGGGCCCTGCAGCACATGGAGGGTAATGGGGGAGCAGAGATCCACCTGCAGCCTGTGCAGGACCCTACGCTGGACCACATGTATGTGCTCAAAGGAGGCTGTGACCCTATGGGAAGCCCACGCTGGATCAGCCTGTTTTCCGGTAGGACTGCACCCTGTGGAAGGGACTCATGCTGGAGCAATTCATGGAGGACTGTCTCCTGTTGGATGGTTCCCATGCTGGAGCAGGGGAAGAGTGTAAGGACACCCCTGCCCTGAGGTGGAAGAAGCGGCAAAGATGTCTGATGGACTGACTGCAACCCCCATTCCCTGTCGCTTTGCACCACTATGGGGGAAGACGTAGAGAAATCAGGAGTAAAGTTAAGCCCAGGAAGAAAGGAATGGTGGGGGAAAGGTAGTTTTAAGATTTAGTTTTATTTCTCATTATCTTACTCTGATTTGATTGGTAACAAATTAAACTGATGTTTTTTTTCCCCAAGACAAGTCTGGTTTGTCTGTGACCATAACTGGCAAGTGATCCTTCCCTGTCCTTTTCTCAACCCTCCAGCCTTTTGTTATATTTTTTCCTCCAAATGCCACTGTCAGAGAGGAGTGAGTAAGCAAACGCATGGTGTTTAGTTGCCAGCTGGACCTAAACCATAACAATCACCTTCCCTTCATCTACTAGGCGGGTGACCTTATCATAGAAGGATATTAAAATAGTTAAACAGGACTTGCCCTTTGTGAACCCATGTTGTCTGTGCCTGATGACTGCATTATTCTTTAAATGCCTTTCAATAGTATCCAATATAATCTTCTCCATAATTTTTAAAGGAAATGAGGTTAGACTAACATGGCTGTAATTTTCTGGGTCTTCCCTCATGCCCTTTTTGTGGATTGCAATAATACCAGCTAGCTTCTAGTCAGCAGGGACCTCCCCAGACTCCCAAGGCCTTTGGTACATGATGGAGAGGTGTCCTGCCATAACATCCATTAGCTTCTTCAGTAAACTGGGATGAATCCCATGAGGCCCCATGGACTTGTGAACATTCAGCTGATACAGCTGGTCCCTTACAATTTCAGTGTCCACAAATGGAAAGTCACTGTTCCCACAGGGGTCCTCTGACTCAGGGGACCAGGTAGCCCAAGGTTTATCAATTTTATTAAAGACTGAAGCAAAAAAAGCATTGAATGCCTCTGCTTTTTCTTCATCCCTATTAGTCAGATGACCATCTTCAACAAGTATTGGTCCAATATTTTCTTTAGACCTCCCCTTGCTATTAACGTACTTTAAAAAGTCCTTCTTGTTATCTGAAACAACACTTGCCACTTTCAATTCTAATTGAGCTTTGGCCTTTCAGGTCTTCTCCCTGCCTATACAAACCACAGCTCTGTACTCTTCCTGTGAAGCCTGACCTCACTTCCAGAGATCATACAATTTCTTTTTCCTCTTGAGCTCCATGAGGAGTTCCATGTTCAGCCAAATGTTCTTCTGCCCCACTTGCTTGATAAATGACACAGTGGAATTGCCTGCTCCTGTGCTTCCAAAAGGCAGTTCTTAAAGACCAGCACTTGTGGACTCCTAAGCCCTCAAAAGCAGATTCATGGGGTACTCTGCTAAATAGCTCCCTGAATAGCTTAAGGTTTGCTCTCCTGAAGTCCAGGGTAGCAACTCTGCTGTCGTTTTTTATCATTACACTGAAAAATGTTAAACTCAACCATTTCATGATCACTGTGGCCAAGACAGCCACTTACTATCACATCCCCCACGAGTCCCTCTCTAGTCACAAACAGCAAGTCTAGGAGGACATCTTTCCTAGTTGGCTCACTGAGTACCTGTGACAAAAAGTTATTTCCTACGAACTTCAAGAATTTCCAAGACTTGCTTATCACAACAGTATGATATTCCTCGTTGATGTCTGGGAAGTTGAAAGGACAAGGGCTACTGATCCTGAAATTTCTGCTAATTGTCTATAGAATAACTCATCAGTGCTTACATCCTGGCTGGGCAATTGGTACTAGACACCCACTACAAAATGTCGTTTGTTTTCCATCCCCCTAATCCTCACACAGAGGCTCTCAACCACATCATCACTAACTATAAGGGCTGTGCAATCAAAGATCTATTTTATGCATAGTCTCCACCTCGCCTGCCCTGCCTATCCCTCCTGAACAGCCTGTAGCCATCTATCCCAGAACTCCAATTGTGGGACTCATTCCACCAAGTCTCACTAATACTACTGATACTGTATCTCTGGGAGCTGAGCAACACTTCCAGTTCATCTTGTTTGTTTCTCATACTGCATGCGTTGGTGTACAAGCATTTCAGATATGCTCCTGAGCCCTCCATGCTCCCAGGAGCAGTGCAAATATTCCCACTAGCACTGCCACCCTCAGGCAATTCCATGCCAAACCTGGTTTACCTGCTGCAATCCTGTTGTTACTCCCTTCTGCCCATTGATTCCAGTTTAAAGCTCTCAGTCTGCCCTGCCAGTTTATGCCCAAAGACACATTCCCCAGTCAGGACAGGTGGATTCTGTCAGGCCCCAGCATACCTTGCCTCTCAAAGGGTCTTCCATGTTAAAAACCCAAAATTTTGGTGGAGACACTGGTCCTGGAGACAGGCATTGATATCCTGAGCTCACCTGTTTCTTCCAGATTCTCTCCCATTACCGGGACTACTGAGGAAAACACTACCTGTGCTCCTGAAATTTTTAGCATTCTTCCCAGGGCTCTGGAATCTCTTTTGATTGACTTCAGACTTTTTGGTGCAACATCATTTGTACCCATGTGAAAGACCAGGAATGGATAGCAGTCTGAAGGTTGTAGCAGGGTCTTCAGTCTTGTGGTCCCTAATTCTGACCCCAGGGAAGCGGCAAATTTCACTGGAAAGAGGGTTGTCCGGTCTGCAAATGCGTGCTTCCATTCTGCGCAGGAGGGAATCACCAATGACCATAACTTGCCACTGTTTCTTCTCGGTGCTGGTCTTAATGCAGGTTTTGGTGTGAGGGGTTGGTCTCTCTGATCCTGACAAGACTGCATACGCAGGTTCCTCCTCTGTCTCATTATGCACTTCATCTATCGTACCCAGGGCTTTGTCCCTG